CAAATTTGGTATGTAAATAGACAGGCAAAGATGTTTAACACCAACAATCCTGTTGTTATCTGTCATGGAGTTGGGCCCTGACACATGGTGATCCCCATACACAATACAATGAGGCACTGTCAAATCCTGCGCAAGCCACATAAGCAGTTGGGACCCGGAGAATTATGACTCACGGGGCTTTCACTGGCTGATTTTTAAAAGTAGATCCTCAATGCTGGACTATGCTAATACAGCATAGTCTGAAAGTTCCACTAAGATCTAATCAGCATCACGGCAACAACAAAGGCCCTATTGACAATGAGTGGCAAATGCATGTAAGATATTTTGGCTGGAAACTAATTCTAGTTTCCCCTCAGAGAAAGGCAAGAATTAGTATTGAATCATAATGAGGAATATGCAAATCACAACCACAAATAGAATGACTACAATCAGAAAAACTAGAAAATAACAGGTGTTGGTGAGGACATGGGGAAATTAGAACCCTCATCTATCACTAGTAGTAATACAAAATGGTGAAGCCACTGTACAAAAGTAGCAAGTTTTGAAATCATTAACCACAGTTATATCATCCAGTAAGCCTTGGAAAGAGAAACATCTTGCAGCACTATTCACAATGGCAAACAAATAGAAATGATCAACAGATGAATGAATAAATGAAATGTGGTATATACGAGGGTATACCAACCTCCCCATTCCATACCCCTCCGCCCAATTATGCATTTAAATGTTTTCACAGAACCTTATCACCTTCAAAGTACTCTCCATTACACTTAATACATTTGTCAAATCTGAGATTCCATTCTTGGAAACATTTTTCAAACTCATCTATTTGGATGGCTAACAGCACCTCCCTGATTTTTTTTCTTCACCTCTTCTACCTCATCAAATCGTTATTTCATGCCCCTCTCTCTATTCCCGGAAACAAAAAAGTCGCAAAGAGCGAGGTCAGGTGAGTCAGGTCTGTGGGCGAGTCAGGTCTGTGGGGCAAGAGAGATGTGGGAAACAGAAGGATTTCTCCCAAGTTGTCTCCCCCAAATATGTGCCAGACTTAGCTGCTTGAGAATGACTGTACACTTGGAGGTCATCAGGAGTGGATTAGGGGTCTTTCTCCCTAAGAGCTATCAGCCATCTAGACCAAGCAGATACCACTGTTTATCCCAAAA